AAAGTTATTATCGAGTTTATATTTTATTATAAAGGGGAGACCCTTTTAAACCCCCTTTTATTACTCATCTTTTCATTTTTATACCGGAGAGACCCCGGACCTTTTTTATTACTTATATTTATATATTTACTTATATTACGAAAATATTAAAAGTTACAAAAGTTATAGAAGTTATAGAAGTTATAGAAGTTACAAAAGTTACAGAAGTTATAGAAGTTATAAAAGTTATAAAGGTTATAAAGGTTATAGAAGTTATAAAAGTTACAGAAGTTACAAAGGCTATAGGATCATACAAGTCACAAAAGTTATAAGAGTTATTAAGTCTAAGAATATGTATTAAAGAAGGTTTAAACCCGAATCTTTAACCCAGCTATAAAAGGTGCACCTAGAGGAGGGGGGAGGGGGGGGAGGGGGGGAGGTCTCGAGCAAAAGAAAGGGGTCCAGGTCTACGTTTCTTACGTAAGCTCTTTTTAAACGCAGTACACTTTCGAAAAGACCACCGATAGCGAGCATACGCATCTTTCGAATTAGATATTTATGCTTTACCGGCCGAAGAGTATGCTTAGCACTCTTAGCGGGCAGCAGCGCACGCATCGCAAGGCGGGTCTACTAGCTTACTTTTATATATTTATATTAGCTTAAGGTTGTTAGAAAATAAAAGAAAATAATTCTTATAATTCGGTCTTTATAATACAGCCGACGTGGCCGATGATAGCACGGCGAAGGAGAAGGAGCTTTAATAAGTCCGATTGCTTATACGACTATTATATGCTTATAGCGGAAAGCGTATATAGGTCTTTGTTCTTCTTTTAAGTAGTCCAGGCCTAAAAGAGCCGCGCAAACTCGGCAGTCGATTAGGCTTGTTTAAGCTAGGCTTTAATAAAAAGGGTCCTTTTACCAACGGCCGGCGGGGACGCAAACATCTATTGATTTGATTAATAAGTATTAATAAAAGATATGAAAATATACTTACGCTTATATCTTATTATAAAAGTAAGATCGGTCTAAAGCTTATAAAGCGAAAGGTAGCAGGTGGCGTAGCAAAGGGGGGCACGGCGGCGGCGAAGAATATAAAAGCCGGGGCGAAGCTAAGAGCCGAGACGCTAATAAGAATCGATAGCGCAGGAAGGACGAAAAGAAAAAAGGAAAAAGAGCGAGAGATTATTAGCTCATTTATATCGTCGTCTTCGAATCTATATATATATGTAATTAGCGTAGATAATTCGAATGTATCACTTGATCTTAAGATAACTTATATTAAAAGCTTAGAATCCTTTATTACTTTATTTTCTTTTACCTTTTTCTCGACCTCTTTTATTGCTA